TCGACAGTCGAATTTTATTCTTGTTTATTCATTTGCTACAGTGTTTCATATAAAATATACAGGAATACGATTCACAGCGAAAGTTGCACGTAAATACACTTCCGATTAATAACAACCATGTTGAAAGAATTTTAGATTTGCTCGTGCATGCGTAGCATATAAATAAATACACATTGCTACTTTCTTTTATTCCGGAAAAATAACGAAAATGGCTTTCTATTAATTTTCATAATTTTTCGGTTGGAACCAGTGATGATAGATAGGTATAAAATATACTAGCAGAAGTTGCATTTTTAATGGCACTCAATTATAATTCAAGTAATTACAATGTAAACGCTATATACAAAGTAGATTGTAGAGTTAAAATTATACAATTAGTGGATTGTATAACTAAAATGCAAAGTCCTGTTACTTTTCTGGTTTCGTTCAAAGAATCCTATTAGAAGAAAGAGTTATATGTGTTTCCTACGTTTGAAATTTATTTTTTGCATTTAAATTACTATTATTAAATAATTTTCTCAAACCCGCATAAATACCAAAAATAGTTGTACAATAAAGAATAAATATATTATGAAATACAGTAGCAGAAGAATTAATTCTTTTTATGTGTTTGTATAACATTTAAACTAACATTCAATACAATGAAATTAAATTTGCATATTAGCCCTTTGCACTCGAGAGGCGACTCGCAGTCGCCAGATGATTCGATACAGTAAAATTATAAACTTTAGTATTTACCATTAATCTTTGTATACTGCATCAATGCGTGAAATATTTAAAGAAAATAACTTTGGTACCTAATTTATGTATGATTTCTTGTTAAATTCGTTTTAAAGAATGTCGTCTACATCTAATTAGAAGGTATAGAATATTTCAAGTGAAAAACTTTCGAGTGCAAAGGGTTAAAAGTTACTATAAAAAGATTCATAAAGTAATTTAAATATAATTGGTAACAGTGGAACAATTCACTTGGATGATAGATAGTATATGTATTTGAAAAATTATTCTAGTTACTTGCGTGTCAACGGTTCAAGTATTCAATTTCGGAAGACTACGCTAACATTCGTTTCGTTTGGCTATTGTGCTAAAGTGATCGGATGCGGAAGAGGGTCGTCGAAGAAAGAACAGGGGAAACATTAATGGCTATCCTGAAATCTCGCTTCGTAAAAAGTGATACAGTGGCCTCGCGTCGGCTGCGTTGGCCGATGTCACAGTGAAAAAGGAAGTGTGATTTCACACCAGTACGTACGTGGTCGACCACGTCCTCAAAATAATAGCATCGTCGTTACGGGCGATACGACACCCAAGGGGAAACGGTTAAGTTTGTCATTACCTGACGCATTATGTCCGGGCATCCGCTGTAGAGACCGAGCTCCCTGCATTTCGAAATTACACGAATAATTAAACTGCGGGTCGGTATTTCCGTTGCGATTCGCTACACCTTCGTACATCGCACGCTGAAAGTATACAGGCATTTCCGATTTGCTCTCGAATTAAAGCCTAGCGTTGCTCGATTCTATTACGCGCAGTCAGAAGCAACTTCCGTTTACATGTTTCAAACTTCCATCGATACGAAATACTTCTTAATTAGCCTCGATTCCTGCGTTCGGTAAATATTTGGAAAGACGGTCTCCTCGCCGATTTCAATGATTCCAAGCTATGCTCCGGGAATATCATTGTGAACAATATTTTATACGCACGTAACTCTTGTTCAGCCTTAGTTTTCGAGATATTTATGAAGATGTATTTTATATAAAGACACTTAGCTGTGCAACTTCGCTAATTACCGCGGCATTGAAAAAATATAAAATTTAATTCGAATTGATTATCTATTTAAAATATATTACATAACAATATATCTGAGTTTTTCTATGTATAGCGATATAAGTTGACCTCAGTGAAAATTGCCATCCGCACAATTCAGTTTTCTGAAAATTAGCCCGTACGCAATGAGTTAAAGAATAAACCTCCTCGATTTCAATAATTCCCGAATTTGTAATGTTATATTCGAAAGTATACTTCAGTAGGTGATACTAACGCGTTATGTGTGGAATTTAGTTCCAAAAATATTTTATTGTGTGCGTAATAAAATCGAGTAATGAAGTATATACTCGTCAAACACAGTGCAAATACACTTATAATATATTCTGACGAAAAATTAAAGGGGAATGAAGAAGAATTGCATGTCTGTCTAAAAAGAAAAAATAGTCCATCGTCGAAAAAGTTAGCACCGTTTAGAGTTTTAATGACGTGTATACACGTTAAACGCAGTTAATTGGTGTTTCATTAAGAATGATATTATTTATAATATTTAACCCTAAGAAGCGATGTATTATTGAATGGTAAACATGTCGAAAGAGTAAATCATTGATATCGTTTGTTAAAATTTATTAAAATGAGCTTCATATATATAGATAGCAGAGTGGGGTATTGATAAAGCTGGTTTACCAGATGTAGAGGTGAAGGGAAGAGAGCAAATCCTCTCTTCCGCTCACACACTTTTACGTCATAATCGCCGAACATCCTTATCGTCTGAATACGGTGAAATTTTATGAATATCTCGAAAACTGGAAGAGTCCGACATTTTCGTAAGAGGAAACGGTTTAAAATATTCATTTCTGCAGTATATTTAAAAATCATCGAAATCGGTATGGAAGCTCCTTTTCGATAACATTCCAAACGATATATAGTAGATATACTTTAAATTAGATTAGAGCTGGTTTAACTCATAATCCAATTAAAGGTATGAATTCCAAAACGACACAAATTTAGTAACCACTATTTCGAGAAAATCAATCTTTTATTATATTATATCTTCATTAATTTCGTTAATTTAATGTCAATCTTGATTATTTTTGCTGTGAACATTGATTATGCATATACTTTCATGGTATATATATTTTCAATAATATTATATAACTGGCTTTTGTGTGAAAAGTCTTGAAAAGCTGTGGACTTTTGCTGTTTTGGAAATTAGTGAAAAAAGTAATATATTATTAACCAATTTAGTAAAAACTTTGATTGAAATAAACAAATTTCTTTTTATAAATTAAAATTTTTATTCGCTATTCCACGTTTCACCCTGGGAGTCATCATTTTCAGTTTTACGAATAGATTCTTATTTTTATAATAGATTCTCAAAATATAAACGATGATTTGGGCTCATTGATGACAAATACTTTTTTAGATTTCGACATTTAAAAGGTTTCAGCGTAATTTCGCTGTTATAAGCGGATTTTATTCCGTGAATATTAAAATTATTAGCTCTGCTTTTAAATTGAAATGTCTACGTAGTTAATTTATTTGTTGTTATGCTTTCAGTTATAATATATTTTTTTTATTCAATGATTTTATATGAAGTTTTAAAATTCATTCCACCATTCACAGTATTATGCTGATGAATTTCAAACCTGCATATGTTAGGGACTTGTACTGTTTCGAATGTCATTGTCCTTAAACAACATGTAAGGAGTTAACAAACTCATATAGTGCCAAAAGGTGGACTTGTTGGTTTGGAATTCGTGACCAGAATTTATGTTTATGAAATTAATTTATACCGTTATCGTCTTGCTACTAAAGTATTGAAAACATCTGTTCTGTTTCCGTTTGAATTAGAAATATTATTTTAGGAAGAGAGACAAATTACGTTTTTATTTTACATATTTTGTTATAAATTCATTTCTTTGGACACGAAGAACCGTCGAAAGATTCATGATGAATTTCAATTTTTCGTTTCCTTTTTAGAAATATTGACAGATTTATTTCCAATTTTATATATTTTTTCTAAATTGATTTCTCCGAACGTGAATGACTGACAAGAGGCTTATAATGGACGTCTCCGTTTAACTACATAATACTCTTTATCAGTTAAAAATCGAACTACCATATGATCAAATATTTATTATCAATGAAAAAATGTATGCACGGTACATATACACATCATGGCAGGTATTTAAATATTAACATTGTTTTTAACCTTACTTGCGATTACCGTGATTTGCTTTAAATTTTAAATTAACTTTAGATCACAGCAGTCAAGAGAACTTTATTAGGTAAATAACCTTTTTTATCTGTTTAAACAAATTGTATTAAGCTTACTTCTTCTGCGGTTATAAGTTAACCTATATACCTACGTTTACATCATATGACTATGCGGTTGAATATTATGCAAGCTAAAAAAGAAGGAATTGAGCGAAATTAGAAGAAAAACAGAAAAAGGAAATAGGGTTACAAAACAGAAGCAGCAAAGCAAATTAAATTAGCAGCAAGCGAAAAGATTACAGAAAGGGAAAAGAACAGAAAGGACAGAGGAATAGATTAATCTTTAAAACTGCTTTAAATAAAATGCTTTTTCCCGTGCAACGAAGAAAACAACTTTTTACAATAGTATGCGCGTACTTATATTGCTTCTACCAGTCTGTATTTTCAAGTTTTCACTTTCGTAGTACAAAATCTGCAAAACGGTTATGACTAGTGCCGAACACGGCGAAAACTACTTGGTTTGCAGGTCGCCAGAAAGATTACACATGGATTGTCCCTATTTCTTAATTCCTTACTAAAACATGACATCCAAAACCGAGTTGTATTTTATAACGTAAGATTCTACACAATCAATACGAAAGTTACATGTTCCAAAGTACTATTCACTTTACAGAAAAATTTAGGAACTCACCGTTATTCAGTTCCTATTCTGCAAAGATTTTGACATTTTTCATCAACCGAGAATTCGACGAAACAATAATTCCCTCGCAAAAGATATTTTCCCAATTACATGGAAGACCATTATTTTATATTATTCCGCGTAATTCTCACGTTATGGTGTAAATATGACGCGCGATTGGTCATAATTAGTACAATTGTTTACCGACTCGGTATCATTACCTGCGCATGAAATTCATCGCATTAAAACATTACCCGCCGCCGTGCCCGACAATATTTCCACGGTTTTATCGTTCTGCATAATTCCGCAACGATAACGTTTAACGTGTTGGGTCGCGCAGGTGAGCACGGTGGTTGCGGAATCACCGACGACGTGGTGGAGTGGATGGAGAGAATTCAAAATTCGGGCGAGCCGGACGTTCCACCTCCGGGGACGGCCGCGAACGTCAAGAAACCCCAGCCACGGACGAATCCATGGAACGCGGATCAGGAATCGCCTGGTCACAAATACTCCCGGGAAGCTAACGAACCTAGTCATCGCAGGGTGCGAAGGGCGGCCAGGCCGAAGGAGGACAACAAGAACACTTGTTCCCTCTTTATTCAGACTGACCCTCTTATATGGCGGCACATATCCGAACAGGTGAGCGAAATAAAACCACGCGGACGTTTGACGAGAGGCTGAACCCGACAGCGAAGGCGGTTGGAACGGTGGCCCTTTTCAAACCGGAGAACACGGCGTTCCTTTCAGAGCGATAATAACTGACCCATTTCTTTTTCCCTATAAAATTTCACTCGAAAACGTAATAATTCCTCTCGCGCAATCCTCCCGAATGCCCTGAATACCAACCATTCTACCGTTGTAGTCGCATTCGCACAGCTTTTCCCGGGTAATAGGGGCCAGCGTAATTTCATTTCGTATTTTCCTCCAAACTAGACGTCTCTGCATTCCCCTGTGTCCTTGCGTTAGAAGAATATTTCCATTTCCGCGTCCTTTCTCTTTTTTTCTTCTTTTTTTCTTCCTGACCGTAGCATTCTTTCTCGTTCCGTTATAAAAATCTCGCCGGTATATATACACGTACGCGCGTGCACACAGGTATAAACCGTTTTAAAGCGTGCGCGGTTCGCGAATATTGAATTCCACGTTTCGACTTCGCAGCTGCATCACGACGCGGAGAAAACCAAAGAAGAGATTCTGTCTCTCATCGCGCACCACGTCACCGCTGTCAATTACATATACAGAGACACGAGGTTCGACGGCAGAATCAAGCATAGGAATATTAAATTCGAGGTGCAGCGGATTAAGGTGATTAAATTGCGACCGGGGGTGATTTTCGAGAAGGCGATCGTTTCCGTGGGCCTGCTAAACGTGAACGTTCTTTCCGACAGATCGACGACGACACCGCGTGCACGCCGCAGCAGACGTACGGCGAGCCGAATCCCTTCTGCATGGAGAACATCGATGTCAGTAACTTTTTAAATTTGCACTCGCTCGGCAACCACGAGGACTTCTGTCTCGCTTACGTGTTCACGTACAGGTATGACGGCTGGCCGCGGTCTGGAGATAAATGTTACACAGGGAATATTCATTCGCGCGCCCTTATCGTTCACAGGGATTTCACCGGCGGCACTCTCGGGCTCGCCTGGGTCGCCTCGGCGTCCGGCGCATCCGGGGGCATATGCGAGAAGTACAAAACCTACACGGAAACGGTGGGTGGGATGTATCAGTCGACGAAGAGGTCCTTAAACACGGGGATCATCACGTTCGTGAATTACAACAGCAGGGTACCGCCGAAAGTGTCGCAGCTGACGCTGGCCCACGAGATCGGACACAATTTTGGATCACCTGTACGATCGCTTTCTTTTTTTTTGCTTTTCTCTATAAAAAGGTACAGTAATGCTCGCTTAAATTACACAAGTTCGAGTCCCAGCAGTGGAATTTAACCAAGCAGAGGAAATAGAAAGAAGCTATTTGCTTCTAGGCACTGACTCGAGCACAGCCTGACAAAGGCAAAGAATCGATATGACAAGCGGAAGCGGAATAGACACGATTCGTCGAGTATCGGGGGTCGAGACGAGGGACTTTAGAGCGATGCTACATGCGTTAAATATAAATATGCAACGAAGAAAATGTCAATTGCAGTCATTTTAATGTCACCTTCTTAAATGCAGTGCCGGTGAATTTGTGAGATTGTTGCGATTGAAATGAGTCAAAGCACGGCGGAAAGCGAACTGGTTTTAGCGATTGAATGTAATGAACGAAATTAAAGGTTCATTCCCCCAAATCGATAAAACAACCGATTTACGTCGATTTGGACTGATTTTAATGAGAGGAATCTCAATATTCCGTCGGTACTACGACTAAGAAAGTAAGGTTAAAATTATTGTAATTGAAATTTTCTTCATTGCATGTTTATACATCTCTTTGACCTGTGTCTGTCTCTGTTTACTGGGATTACGTTAAATTAAGCTCAAGACAGTGAGCAGTGCGGGAAGAGTAGGGACGGTGCAGTGGAATTAAGCCGAGCAGGTTTCTGTGGAATTTAAGAGAGCATCACTGTATATTGTAGTGGTTCTTAACTCTTTGACGTTTAATGACTAGTGTAGCTCATGGTTAACCCTTTTCGCATCATTAGCGTATATATACACTGAATTTTCTTGGTCACTATCATCTTTTTCATACTCTTAAGCTAGAAATCTTAACCCACTTGCATCATTAACCTGTTAATTTAGTTTGAAAAATCTCTCGTTTTGCACGCAATAAAATAAAAAAATGATGTGTGCACCTGTCAAACGCAGAATGAATGCACCTAGGGTATATCTTCACAGGTTGAATGCCGCGTGACTTCATAGAGCAAAATACACAACATGGAAAAAATATAATATCAAATCATTTGATTGAACTGCATTATTATTATTACACGCTCGTGTATTTGAATGTTACCGCATTAAGTAGCGTTGTTTATAATACAGAAATGTTTCCAAATAATCATCGCTTAATTGAGTGAACTATAATAATTCGATTTGGCTGGGGGTCACCGGTGGCATTCAACGTATTAATGAGAAACCAAAGCAAAACAAAGAAGAATTACATGTTTATCCGAAAACATAAAGAATTCCGCACACAATTACTTTGAATTGTCTATGTGTTGCTTGTTGTATCGGTCGGATCAGGTTAATTTCAATGAAAAACTTGAAAAATTTTCAGTTGAGCATTTCTAATTTACAAAGGAAGCTTCACGTTTATAGCGAAGATGCAAATAGGTTGATACATTGGAAAACCGTAACGTGGTACTACCTTATTTTGAATTTTTTTTAGAATGCGTAGGACTAAAATTATCAAACAGTTAAATTGACCTTTTAAAATTTTTCCATAGAACCTCCAAGAGTGCATCTATTGAGATTTCTATAGGTTTAAAATTCAATTTGGGTATTGCTAAATCAATTTCTTTAGTTATTTCTCAGAGAATCCTCTGTTATTTTTTCGGTAATCGCAAAAAGAATAAATCGCTGTACATATGTCCAAATAAGAAACTATTTTGCCACTGTCATTGTTTTACCTTCAAGATAAACGTGAATTTATAATAAACAGAAAAATTTCTCTGTATTCCCTCAATTGCTAACAGTAAAATAAGTCTGACAAGCACAGTCACGAAGAAAGTCGTACGGTAACAAGTTACCCGGTGTTCCGAGAAATCATAAAATTTCTTAAGTGGTTCTGCGGAAAAAATTTAGGTACCCGTTATTGACCGTACAAACTCATAAATTCACGCATAAATTTAACATCTGTGCATATAATTTTGGATATAAGACACGCGCATATTTATTCTTATTTGTGTACGCTATCGGTGATTTTAGTATTTAAGAAATTTTTCTCATAAACAAACGTGCTCCACTCGTGGCAAGAGTTAAGAACCACTGGTATATCGCCATAGAGTAGATCATAATTTTTGTTTAACTGAATTCCCTTGTAATCATATTTGTAGCACGACTTCCCTCCAGAGTGTAGACCGGGTGGTCTGCACGGGAATTACATTATGTTCGCGTCAGCGACGAGCGGCGATCGACCGAATAACAGTAAATTTTCGAAATGTAGTATCGGAAATATTAGCAATGTCCTAGACGCCATCGAGGATAATAAAAAGAGAAATTGTTTCACCGGTATGTACGAGTTGCTCTAAACGCGTAAATATCCGTCGAGATTAAAAGATGAATGCATAATCTGTATTTCTTTCTTACGTAGCATCTGCTGGAGCATTCTGTGGCAATAAAATTGTTGAGGCCGGGGAAGAATGCGATTGTGGGTACGATGACGACGAATGCGTGGATAAATGTTGTTACCCAAGGCAGGTGTCCGAGTTGGACAAAATAAAGAACGAGACCGCTAAAGGCTGCAATCGGAAATTTGGGACGCAATGCAGGTATATATTTCAATGTAATAATTTCTTATTAAATGGGAGCGTGACTTTAATGTTATGCAATTCATAAATCGATATGTAGAACATTTATGGAATATTATATCGTCGTGTTTCGAAACAATTCATTATTACTTGATAATATAACTTCGTTTCATTAACGGTATTGTAAAATATAATAATTCGTATGTCACATTCAAATACTTTTTCAGTACACGTTGATGTCATTTAATATTTGTTTCATTAATTTTACAGTATATAACTTTTTATGCAATAACGGAATGTTTCCTTTGACGACTATATTTACCTCTGACTTGTTTACCTCCTACAGAGGAGTAACTATTTACTTGTTTTATAAATAAAAAAACTCTCTGATTACGAAGTAGATTAAACATAGTTTCTTGACTGTTTTAGTGAGAGATATTAATTTTCTTTTAACATTTAGTTGTTTGATAAACGTAATTGAATATGGGCGTAGTTTCTTAAATGTTTTATGAATTGCTTAGTACATGTATACGAATTATTTTTCCTAATAGACACTTACAATCGTTTGTTGCTTTCTATGCGAGTGTGACAGAACTTTTTTAGTACTCTGCGTCTTCTGCATTTATAATATAGACGTGTAAATTTCTGGAAATAAAATAATGTGTTTATTGTGTAACTTCTACGTTAAAAAATCAATACATAAATTATTATTTAACAAACAAAAAGTTGCATTATAATGAATAATGGAAAATATCTTGCACAAAACGTGACAAAGGAAATAAATAAATTTAGTAAAAAAATGTATCATAAAATTAATATTTTTATTAATTATAAAGTTGGGCAAAAAGAATTTGAAAAATATTTTTCAAAGAATAACTAATTTAGTATGTAATGTAATAATAATATACAGTAACTGTAGTGCAAAAGGTAAAATAAAGAATTTTCTTTGTAGTCCGAGTCAAGGACCTTGCTGTTCAAGCGAGTCGTGCCAATTTGTGCCACTATCTAGAAATGTTCAGTGTAAGGCCGAATCCGATTGCAGTTACAATTCTACCTGCAATGGGTGGTCCTCCGAGTGTCCTGCACCGTTACCGAGAGCCAATAAAACTAGATGTAACGAAGGAACACAGGTAGGAACAGTTTCCTAGACCTTCAATTTATATCGGTGACGTAAAAGGTAGATTCGTAAATATATAAGAGTAAATAAAGTGTAGTTTAGCAATTTCGAGTTAATAAAAAGAAAGAAGTATTCTTGAATAATTCGATCTCGATAACTAACGATCAGTTGAGTAACATAATCTTTCGAATTAAAAATCCAATTTTTAGTGACGTTTCATCATTTGACAAGTATATTTCTAATTTATCGACAGTTATGCATTAATGGCGAGTGCACTGGATCAATTTGCCTGGAATGGAACCTGACCGAATGCTTTTTGACCAGTAACGTAATTCCAAATATTGACAAACGTAAACTGTGCGAATTAGCTTGTCAAAATGGAACCGATCCATCCAGTTGCCGTAGCACCAGCGAGTTTGCACATGTCGTCGGTTTGCCCGAAGGTGGAATTAGTCTTCGACCTGGATCACCCTGCGATAACTTTCAGGTAGTTACTTAATCACCGAAAATTATTTTCGGTTACTAACCTCGGAAACGCTGGTGGCAATAACGCGTTCGTCTTCCGCTGTAGGGTTACTGCGACGTCTTTTTAAAATGTAGAGCAGTGGACGCAGAAGGACCGTTAGCTAGATTGAAAAATCTTTTATTTAACAAAGAGACGTTGCTCACGGTGGCGCAATGGGTAACCGTAAGTATAATGTCTTCTAATGATCATTCTTCATATTTCTCGAAATTAATAATAAAATATTGATTTTTCCAGGAGTTCTGGTGGGCAGTATTGCTAATGGGTATAGCTTTCATTATTTTCATGGGTCTGTTCATCAAATGCTGTGCCGTTCACACTCCTTCCAGTAATCCGAAGAAACCACCGGCGAGACGTATTAGCGACACTTTGAGGAGGCCGATGAACACCTTGAGAAGAATGGTAAACACGCTGAAACGGAGAAACCGTATAGAATGTAAATTAGTTTTAAACGTTCGTGAAATTGATGCATTCATCTCCCTACAGCGACATCCGCACGGTGGAGGAGGTGCCGGTCCGAGAAGTATACCTCCCAGGCAAAGTCAAGGAGGCCACAGTGGAACTCGAGGACCCTCTCACGGTTATGGAGAGGGCAGAGGTCCACAGTATTATCCGAAAGGTAGGTTTCTACGAAATCTCTGTTGCTTTTTAACGCAGCTATCGTTGCTCGAGTTTGATCTTAGTAAATATTGCTCGTTAAAATGCATACTGGATGTTTGCATATTAGCTCGTGAGACACGGATTAAACTCAAGCTAAGTAGCTTGCTGCCATGCATCGGGTCATTTCATGAATAATGGTGCTTCTTACTCTATTTACATAGACACAAATATATATTTATTATGCGCATTGAAACTGTTTATCAGTGCTGCAGTCTATGTACGCGTTGGGAACTAGTTCAGTCTAGTATTAATACAATACTTAAAATGTTCGTTGATGGTTAAAAATCAGGAATAATTAATTTTATGCTTACATGCCTAGATATTATAATCTATAACCTTCAGATACATGTACAGTTCTTTTGTTGTTAATGTTTTAAGATATAAAATATATTTAAAGCACTATTTCTAAAAGAAATGTTCACTTTATATCACAAATGGAAAGTCGTATTTACTTTACAAAAAAAGTAATTAAAATAAGTGATTTAAGAGTTGTTATTAACTACCGAATGTCGTGTATAGCACGAAATGTAATAAATTGTATTATTTTAGGGCTGATAGCTACGTAACTGTCAATATGAGTGATTGTCAGCTCGGATAATATGATTTATTATGCAGTATTTCATGTTTTTGATCGTATTAACGTCGCAGATGGAAACTTATTTATGGAATGACCTGATATATATCCCTCTGTGATCCGCAATTACATCAATGTTTTTTCCTGTTTGCATCACCCTCGCATTGATTGACGCGCATCACTACCTGATACTATCGTTCTATGACCTACAGAGGTGAGCTGGGGCCTATATTCTATAGCTTTAATAGGAGCAAATTTAGGAATACGATAGAGTTCAAAATAATTTTATGAATATTTTATGAAAATCTTCGTTAACGAAGTTACACATTCTTGTATTTGCTCCTAATTCTCTTGTCATCATCATTGATACCTTCATTTTTAGTGTTGATACATAGAGTTCATTGTTTCTTCTGCTTCTGCATTATATGCATTTAATTAACTTCTCAAATGTGACGAAAAAAAGGTTTATACTCTTTGAATGCTGATAATAAATTTAAGTACACAAACGGCTAAACTGAATGTTTTCAATGTATCTACTTTCGATATATTTGAAAATATAACGATAGTTCATAATTCACCGCTCAAAATAAACTACAGATAGCAAGAAAAATGATCAGTAACATTACTTTATCAAAAATCAATGAAAGAGCACTAAAGGGCTAATTCTATTATTTTAAATTTTGATTCTGTCAATCAAATTTCCTTTAACTCTTTACATGTTAAGCATTAAATGCTAAAAGTCTACTTACAAATTTTAGAATGTTCCTAACAAAAGAAACTACGAAAGAAACGCATTCTGGAACACTATAATAAAACCATATGATAAACATGAAGTTAAAACAGACTAAAAGAGTAGCACGTCAAATAATCCTTTAATTTTCAAAATTTTAGTAAATGTTCGGCCAGCATTGTGCAACGATACGTGGAACCCTCGAATGCATGGCTAACATAGTTGATTATCATACTATTCGCTGCTCCTCCGTATCATTCATTGTACCATATCGCGTGGTGATCATTCGCAGCCCAGACACATTACGTTCGCTTCGATATTTCATAGATGAAATCCTTTCTAAACTTTAAGCAGGCTATCGCTCGGTTCCCACAGCTAGTGCGCCAGCCAGTAGCAGTGCAGCACCCAACTACGGCCGTTCCAATCACCCAGAACTGTACGCCGGGGCCTATTCGGGCTCCGGGGGAGGCGGTCGGGCCGCAGCCTACGAGATGAGGCATCACAACAAGGTGTGACGATCCTAGGGGACTACCACGGACGAGAAATAATCTCAACGTCGCGCCGTAACTTGTTCTAATTAACAATGCCAAACTGTGAAACGAGAACCGATCCACCCGACACATGATGTCTTGCATCGCGAGAGAGTAAACGAGAAACGAAGGGGGAAGAATGAAAGAGAGAAAAGCGTGATCGAGTGAGTTTCGATAAAGTGAACAAAAAGGAAAAAGAAAAAATACCGACGATCGCCGATCCACGTTTTTATTTCGTATATAAGTATATTCACGTAAAGAATGGGTCTGGTTTGGAATTGTATCGAAGTGATGACGATGCATGCTAGAAGTCAACGGTGATATATCGAACTTTCTCTGTTGATGTTCCGTTCGTCGAGCCGACCGTCGGGTCAGCGAAATATACTGTCGTAGGGACATCGACGTTCTGGGAACGATGAAAGAAAGAATGACAGCGTTGGACATAATAATAGGTTGGATCGTAAATGATGATCCTCAGTAATCTGTATTATCTCGTACGGTTTTATGTAATTTGTCTTTTGAATGTTTCTCCGCATATTCCTCCGCGTTGCCATTAAGTATTCGCGTCGTGATGAGATCGAAAACAAGGTTGAAAAAAAGAAAGACTTCTCTGCCCGCGAAATTCTTTGAACAAGTGAACGTATCGATCAAAGTTATGTGAATGAACAACGCTGGATTCGCACAGCAAACGATATATTGTATTGTGGTATTGAACGTAGCGTATTTTTGCCGTTCGATATAAGGAACATTTATGGCCAAGATTGCATAGTAACGTTGATGCGTCGACTGTCGATTTCTGGATGAAGTCGAGACGCGCACATTTTTTCGCTCCCGAAAGCGTAAATCTTTTTCAAAGGATGTATAAGATTGTTTGCTAGATGACCTAAGGAAGTTCAGCGGGGGACAGGAGACGACAATATATATTTGGATTAAGTGTTAGAATGATAAACGTAATTTTTGAAAGGCTCCCGCTGAGCGTACCTTGCATTTTACGAATTTCACGCGCGCGATTTTTATTCTACATTGTTTTTTCTACGCGACGACAACATTCTCATCGGGCGTAACGCATTTTATTCCTTTTATACGATCCTCCGTTTTATCCGCATTTACATTTTTAATCGTTAGGATTTTATTATTCCAATGCAACTCAATTTAATTAATTAAGATATTTAACGTAGCCTTTAAGATACACTTAAATATTGAATCGTGATTTAAAAGTATTCTAATTGCGCTGTACTGCTTTCTGGAGCGAAGAGGGGCGCTCATCATTACCAAACTATTGCAGGTCATTCACTTGATCTCTACCATTGCATAATAATTAATGATATTTAATATTCTTATACTAATTTTTATTAGCCAATTGAAAAGAGCAAAGCTATTAGAGACTATGGTAAATACAAGAGAAGCAGACAACACAAAACAGATCTTTTTATAGCGATATTTCATTAACGATCGTCTGGATAAAAGTAATGACAGAACGATATTGATACTGATATTACTATAATTATGATTATTACTATTATTATTAATAATATTATTATTATTATATTATTATTATACTATTACTATTATTGATTAGTTATCTATTGCAGATGATAATTTATCTCCACTATCGCAAATGTTATAAGTTATATTTAAATACGGTTTTTAACTTGCAATTATCGGGGGCTGTACCGTAAACGCGCTTTAAATTATGCGCATGGCGGACCAAAGACGAGGCCTCCTCTTGAAATATAAACATGTTTTAATATACATACGTGGGCTCAAGCAGCATATTCATGCACAACTGCATTCTCGTATGCGATTGATGAACATTCGTGCGTATTCGACCATTGAATCGCACCGAATACTCGCGCAGTATACAATATCCATATAACACACACTTCCTTATTCGAAACGCCAAAATGTTTATACACGATTGACTGAAAGTTTCTTTTGTTTCCATTTTAAACTCGTCCCTCGTCGAGCCTTCTTGAGCAGATTTTGTCCAAGTATTCCCCGCGAGATTTCCATATGAAACAATAGGGGATAACAACCGAAGACGTTGTTAAACCGTTATCGTCGCAGATCGAAAGCCATTCATCGATGATTTCATTCGCGGCTTAGCGTTAGCCTTCTCCCTATACTTTTTGATAATAATACTACGAAGCTTGCCAACTATCCCCGCGAGAATCGAATATGTTTACTTATCAGTCTACTGTCTTTCCATGTTCTAACGAGGCGTTTCCGCTTCGTCGTGTACCGTTCAACGTCACGGCAAAGTAGTAGTGGTCAGCATTCGCAAAGGAACGTAACGATTCGAAAAATCCTATGGGCATGCGAAACAGAAGGAACGTTTCCAGGGATGGAGAAAAC